GCACGCAGATGGAATCCTTTACACGGGAAGGACCCAGGGCTCCTTCCCACTGCGGTCATGGAAGAGCTGATGGGGACTTCGGAGGGGATGCTCTCACAGGCACTTTAGTTTCCCTTCCAGGGAGCATAGGAAACTGGGACCACAAGGATGATCAGGGGTCTGGAGCATCTCTCTTATGAGGAGAGATTGTGGGAGCTGGGCCTGGTTAGTCCAGAGAGGAGAAGGCTGGGAGGGGATCTCATCAATGCATGTCGATAGCTCAGAGGCAGGTACAGGGAGGATGGTGCCAAACTCTTTCCATTTGTGCCCAGCGAGAGGATGAGGAGCAGTGGCTGTGAACTAAAGCACAAGAAGTGTCACCTCAACATGAGGAAGAATTTTATACCTTTGAGGGTGTCAGAACACTGGAACAGGCTGCCCAGGGGGCTTTGTGGAGTCTATCTCTGGAGACATCCCAAACCTGCCATGGACATGTTCCTGTGCAACCTGTTCTGGGTGGCCCTGCCTTGGAAGGGGTTTGGATTGGATGATCTCCAGAGGTCCCTTCCAACACTGATGAGTCTGTGATTACTACATGTATGCTGGTAACCCCAAATGGTGCGTTGAGGATCTTGTCCCGAGGTCCTGCAAGCTGTATATTCCTTTTCCTGTTGTACTCCCTTTGAGGGAAGGGTCTTCAATCCTGCATTGGCTCTGCCTGCTGCAGCCCTGAGCCCATTGTTGTGCATGTGATTGCCTGTTGTGCATATGACAGGAATACTGTGGGCAAGTTAGGTGATGTGTAAACCAAGAGAAACAAATAGCCTTTTCCCCAGGAGACTTGCTGTCATTTGAGAGCACTGTCCTGTGTTACAGAATCACAGACTCATCATGGAATGGTTTGGGTTGGAAGGGACCTTAAAGCTCATCCAGTTCCAACCCCTTCGCCATGGGCAGGGACACCTCTGGTTATCATAGACTCATAGAATGAGCTAGGTTGGAAAAGATGTTTAAGATCATCAAGTCCAGCCATTAAAGCAAGTTGAAGGCACAGAATAACCTGTGCTGAGGGAGGGGGTCTTGTTTCCATGCTGTGGCAATCATTTGGGTTGTGCTCTGTGCATCAAGACCCAGTGTCTGTAGGGTGGCTGTGGTGGGTGCTGTGCTGAGCCTCATCTGCACAAGGTCTGCAGCCAAGAGTGAAAAACAAGGAATGGGATGAAGGAATTGGAGACCAGTTAAAGGGAATTGGAACATGGATGGAGGAGCTAAAACATGGGCATCTGGCAGCAAGAGGAGCTCCCTGCCCAGCTGTGGGCACTAATGGAGCACAGGTGTTCCTTGTTGCACATAATTGCAGGGGTTAGGTGGGTCACTGGGCTGTGCTACAGAGGGGAGCACATTGTGCAGTGCAGTTTGCCTTTGGAACCAGGTATGTGGTGGGTTGAATTCAAATTGGCTGGGTTTTGTGGAGAAATAGGCTGTTTCCTGGGGGTTTTATGGCCTTTGGATGAGGCAGGGCTGAGGTGGATGTTTGCCTGTTTTGGGTTGTAGGGCTGGGATTGTGGTTTGGCTGGGATTGTGATTTGGCTGAGGTGGTTTATGGCTCTCCCCTGGTCTGTGTAGTGCTGTGTGTGTTGTGCTCTTCCAGGGCCAGGCAGCAGGAGACAGTGCGATTGCAGGGCTGGGAGTGCAGTGTAAGACAGTGAGTGTGCCAAAGCAGGTAATTCCTGAGAACTGCTGGTAGTTGGGCAGAGCCCTTTTTCCTGGCTAAAGCACTGAGTCATTGGTGGAGTGCCTGAAGGACCAAGTCTTGACTAAAGCCCAAACTTGACTGCCTTTATTAAATGGCACTGGGATGAAAGCAGCTTGTTGGACTAAATAACTAATGCCCCATCCCTGACAGTGTTCAAGGCCAGGTTGGATGGGGCTTGGAGCAACCTGCTCTAGTGGAAGGTGTCTGTGCCCATGGCAGGGGTTGGAATTGGGTGAGCTTTAAGGTCCCTTCCAATCCAGACTATTATGTGATTCAATGACTTTGCTTTATGGAGGTTCAGGAGGGTCTCTGGTACCAATTCTCCTTGTTTCCTACATTCCACAAGGAATGGGGAGGGGGCAGAGTTGTCACCTGCAGCCCCAAAACTGGTGTTTTCTTCTGTTCATCCAGCATGGTGGTGGAAAGTCCTTTGTGGTCAAAGCAGAGCCTTACACAGGTGCGTCCCTTGTTAGAGTCCATGCAATGCTGATTGCATGAGCTGATGAGGGAGACTGATTGCAGCTGCATGGAGCTGTATCTGCTGGGGCCATCTTGGCTTACACTGTGTTAAAACACGCTTAAAGTCTTCACCTGTGCAGAAAGATACCTCAGCTTTTCATAAGGAGCTCTGGTTGCCATTCACTCTCTTTTCCCATGCTAAGACTGAGCCCCGGCTATAAGTTACCTGCTGTTGTGCCACTTGTAGAACAAGCCCAGAACGGCAGCCTCTGCTTCCAACCTCCCATGCACTAAAAGGAACAGCTCCTGGGGCCAGTCTGATGTGTTAAAAGCTGTCTCAGCCTGTTTGCCTTATCTCTGGTCTTTTCTCCCCTTTCCTCTTAATGTCACCTTGGTGTTCGGTTTGCCTTCTGCAAAGGTATTCTAGCAAAGTCATGTTTTTCCTGCCTAATAGTGTGGGTAGGTTGAGTTGAAATTTGGAGCCTGTAGGGTATACCTGTCAGTCCTGTGCTGTCTGCTTGTGTGTGGAGTTAGGACTTGCTATCACACCTTTGCATACCATGATGATTTTGATTTTAAAGCCGTGGAAAGTCTCCTAAAAACAGAAGATTGTTGGGAAAGAAAGATACTACTTCTGAGGTGTGGTAACGTTTCTCCTGGGTTTGGTTTTCAGTGGACAGATCATACTGTTTGGACAATCAAGTCATGTTAAGGAGTTGCTGTGGTCTTTTCCAGTGGTCCTTTCTAGAAGGAGAGGATAAAACAGTTCCTTCTGATGGCTCTCTTGCCGTGTTGATGTATCAGAGGTGCTTTGGGCTCAGATTGGGATGCAAGATGCTCTGCAAATGCAAAGAGGCAATTATCCCATTTTTTCTCTTCCTACTCCCTGCCTCTCTCCCTCTGCACTTCTGGCTCCTCTCCTCCGCCCTTTCCCCAGCGTTGTGCTGATGGCAGCGTTTATCTGCATTTGTCCTCTGTCCCTGACATCCAGTTATTGATTGGCATGATTAAAAAGAACTGATAATCACTTCACATTAATCCCATAAATGACTTAAGACACCCAAATATTTGCATAATGCATCTTAAAGGTGGCAGCTAAAAGAGGATAAGACCCAAAACTGCTTGGCACAGGAGAAATGGGCTTCCCACTCACCTGTGGGCTTGCTTAAGTAATTAGCCTTCTGCTTGCATAAGGAGGAATCTGAACTGGTTTAGCGGAGGAAGATGCACTGGGTGCTCAAAGGCTTTGGGAGCCCAGCATCCTATCTGCTGGCTGAGCCTGGGGGCGGGGGGAGCAGCGGGGAACAGAGAGTCTGTTTTTGTCTGCTGCATCTTGTGAAAATCTGGAGCCAGACGCCCGCTGAAAGTACCTCTGTCTAAAGACTTTCTGTCATAAACTTATCTGATTAGCAGGGAGCTAGACGACAGATTAGCCCCTGCTTCTGCACTAGGGCTGGGCTCGCTGGAGCATCTGAGCAGATCTGCTCCTGTTGCTAGTGCTGATAGCCCTGCTGGGGAGGAGGTAAGGGGGGGGGGGGGGGATAAGGGGGGGATATTTAAAGGAAGATCATAGCTAGGTGATTCTGCAGATAATGCACCCTCCGTGCTGTCCTGCCGGGCCCAGGTGAGGACCCTCTCCTCTGCACCAGGGAGCTGGTGTCATGTGCTGCGTGTCACAGCAGCGCAGAGTGGGTGCTCTTGGCACGTGAGTAGAGGTTGGGAAGGAGCTGTGGCTGTGGGAGGGAGGGCACTGTTGCTGATGTGTGTGATTTTGTTCTCGGTGCCTCTGGTTCTCCTGGCTGTCAGCTTCCATTGAGGAAGAGGGGAGGGATTAAAATAGCCACGTTCAGCTTGGAGCCAGCACCTTGTGCTAAAAGGATGAGTGATTTGACATACAAACAAAAGGGAGCCATTCCAGCGTTTCCATTGAGTGTCATGTGTATGTTTTAGCTTGTTCTTCAGTGTTCGTGCATCATTTAGTCAACAATATCGTACAAGTGGATAGCAGCTTCCAAGCAAAAGCATTTGCCAGGTGAACTGCACTACTTGCTACAGGGGATGGCTTTTTGCTTTCTCCTTCTCTGTAGAAAGGGATAAAAGACAAAACTAGCCAAAGCAGCAATTGGATGCAAGGACAGCATGATGCTGAACTGCTCTAATGCATTCTCTTTTCCCAGACGGAAGGGAGCATTATTCCAGGATCTGTTGAAGAGTTGGAAATCAGCTTTGTAAATAGCTGTGTCCCCTCAGCTCTGAGCAGTGCTGATGTCCAGCTTCGTGGTGGGTTTTTCTCTTTAAAGCAGAACTAGTCTTCAAGTAACTAAAGTAGTCTTGTGCTCCAGCAGTGATGGAATGGAAAAAACTGACTTTGTTTTTAAGACTAAAAAGGGTGGCAACTGATAGAAAACTATCAGTTCTTTCAGTTCAAGTTTCCTATTAATTCTGGAATAGCTGTGCCAGTTCCTACACTTTGAGTTTTTCCATCTGAGATGTAAGTTCTGGCCCACGCAAGTTATATCTGGCAAAAGTGAAATCAGGAGCTCTGGCAGCTGCAGAGCCCTTGATGGGAAATGAGAGTGCTGTTTGGGAAGTGCTTTGCACTTAAAGTCTCCGCTCCCCAAAACGAGAGGAGGTTACTTAGGAACCTGATGGGTAGGAGGGGGAGAACCTTGAGTGAAATACAGCTCTGCCAGAGGCAAACAAAAGGCTCTTGCGTGCACGCACACATATGCTCATACACACAGAAATCAATTATGTGGTGGCAAATAGGATTGCCTTAACTTGGTGCTTTTCTGCTCTGTTGCAGCCGCGATAACGACCTTTCCACTATCATCTCCAACCTGCATCAGAGCCGTCAGCTCGTTATGCCAGAGACCCAGAGCCGCTGTGAATTCAAGAGAAACAGCATCGATGTTGGCTTAGGAGCAGCAGGTAAGCAGCTGGAGCAGGTCCTGCTGGCTCGGGTTTGTTGCCTTCCCTCCTCTCTTTCTCTCTTTCCTTTCTTCATTGTTGCAGCAGTTGTTTTGTCTGTGCCTGTTTGTGTTACACTTCGGAGTGAGCTGTACGAAGGCTTCTTAATATTCTGGCTGAAGATGAACACTGAATGGATTTCGTGGCAATATTAAAAGTCCTTTTGAGATCTCAGCCCTGTGTTGTTCTCAAATCCAGGGCTCTGTGTTCAACTCCTGGCAAAGGAGCTTTGCGCCAGCGAAGAAGTGAAATGTCCCCGGGGTTGGTGTCAAGTGAAGCAGAAAGGCCTTGCAGAGAGCATGGCTTGATTTGTAATTTCATTAATCAGAGGTTCCCTGTGCTGCCTCTGTGCCTGCCAGCTCCTTTGTGAGCAGGATTGTTTGGTCTTATTGCTCTGCCTGGCTTTGCGGGGAGGCTCATCTGGTTTCAACTTAATGTGGTGAAACCAGAAATGCTCCTCTTGGGTTCTGCACTGTGCCTCTATGGATGTCAGTGCAGGAGCTATGGGCGAGGATGCTTTGGCGATAGATATGAGTCGGGCAACAAGTGAGGTAATAAACTAGAGAATTATTTATGATTATAAATAAAAGTTGGGGAAAAACTGGGAATTATGCTATTGAGTGGTGCCTGTCCTTCCAAATCAGGATTGGCTCTCTCTGTATGTTAACGTAGGCCTTTCCTGGAAATCTTTTCTATATGTAGCTTTATGTATGTTTGTGGGTATCCTATTTTCTTGTAAGTCATTCTGCTGACTGTGTAACTAAACCCTGGATCTGAAGGGAACACCACATCTAACAGGTTTTGGGAGTGACTTTGGAGGATATTCAGTAACCTGACAGGTATCTGGTTTGCCTTTTGTGTGAGGCCTGACCCCTTTCCAGAGAGGTTCCTCCTGCCTGCTGGAGTTTGTGCTGAGGTGACTGCTTTAACAGTCAAGTGTTCAGTCTCATATTCTTGTTGTGCTGACCTGGGGGATTTGGGGTGTGTCTGTAAAGCAGCCACAGGCTTTGCTTTCACAGCTGAATCTCCATGTTCTCTTCATTAACCAGCCTCCACAGCCCCTTTTCCTACACAGCTCTAAGAGCCCAACTGGCCAGAGGTAGGTTCTTCTGTGTGATCTTGCTGGAGTCCGTGTCTCAGCTGACCCTCTCTGTTAAAATGGTTCTTAAAACATTGTTTGCTTACAGAGAAACTGCTGGGCTTGACCAGTGTTACTGAAGTTCTCTGAGATCCATTCCAGCAGTGTGGAGGGTGCTTTTCATTCACACCAGTGTTCAGCAGTAGAAAAGAGCAGATGCAGAAGTCTTCATTCTTCTTTCTTAGTATTATTTGAGATTCTCTGGTTAGCTTCTTAACCATAGGAAATGATGAGAAATAGAAAACAGATTGGTGTGTCTAACAGGAATTGGCCAGCAAAAGAGTAGGTACGGGGATGATGAGGGCATTGGGTATCTAAAGGGAGAGGGGGCATTGTCACATCTCCACAGGGGCACTTTAACCCTGATTTTCTCCCCCCCCCCCCCGTCTGGTAGCTGGCTCACTTTACATGTCTGTTGATTAAGGGAAGCCTCATTGGCCAAAGTCTATGCAGAACCTGCCAGCTCTGACTCTAGAGGTGTGCTGAGCTGGTACCTGTGTCACCACCTCTTGGACATGCGAGTCAAGGGAACAGAAGCAGAATGTGCTGGGATTTGTAGCTGATGCTGATTACTGGGTTTATGTCTTGGTTCTGTTTCTTTCTACTAGCAGGGGTAGAAGGAGAGGATGGTAGAACTAATTTTAAGAGTAAGTGTTTAAGGGTTACTCTGCAGTGTAGAGATTGAGCCGGCAAGAGGTTTGGGAGTGAGGAAGTGAAGCAAGACACCTCGATAAGAATAGCTGACAGCTTAACTCCTGTTTGAAGTGTCCCCTGATACGGCGCCTTTAAAGGAAATACAGAAAACCAACAGCAAAAATCTATCAAAATAAGGCAGAACTCTGCCTCAGCTGATGCTCCTCAGGCAGACCTGGACCTGGCAGCCCCGAACCGAGGCTTCTGCAGTGACAGCAGAAGGTGGTGGCCGAGAGGCGTGCGCTGATAAAATCTAATTGCCCTATTGATTGGCTTCGGAGCCACCGTCGGCCCTGGTGATGATTGAGATATTCTTAATGTTTGATGCATGTTAGCAGCATCTCTCTGCTTGGGGCACACTGGGGACCTGGAGGTATTACAGAGATCTCTTAATCATGGAGCAAACTCGAGTGTATTGCGTCTGCTTAGTGGCACTACAGATTTATTGCAATTGGCACTGAGGCATACAGGTTTCCTAAGGTCCCGGGGGTGGTGGTGGTGGTGGTGGGATTTGGGAAGAGCTGCCCTGTTTGTGACTCTGAATTCTGAAGTGACTAAAGAAACCCATCTCCTTGGTTTAGGATTGTATCCATCTGTACCATCTCACACTGTTGTTTCTTCTCTGGATCAACTGTTGATGGCATCATGTCCTCAGAATAAGTACATTTCTGCTTTTTCTGCCTCTCTGTGACTGGGAGTGGAGGTTCTTGTGCTTGCAAAATAAAGAGCACTGGTTTCTATAGTCCCTGGGTCACCAAATGGTTCTGCAAATCTCAAATGTGTAAGAGTTGGTTGTTTCCAGCACGGATTGAAAGAGTACTAAGTTCTTGTGTTAGGGGATGTCGGGTAAAGGAAGGGCACTTGCCTGTCTGACATCTCTGTTGCTCTCCATTGATGAAAGTGCTGTCTAGCTCCTCATTTGAAGTCTAGGTCGTATCTGCACTGGGCTTATATCCAGCTGCTGGGTTTAATCTCCTACTGCTCTAGCCAGTGTTTGGACTACATGTATTCATTAAACCTGGGGCAGGCTAATCCAGCTGCTGAGAGGTAAGGTTGGCTCTTGCCCACAGATAGTCCTTTTGTAGGGAAGAGAGGGAAGCTACTTCACCCAAGTGCTGGCCGTCTGCAGGACTGCAGAACCTACAGTGTGGTTTGGTTGGGAAGGGACCTTAAAGATCATCTAGTTCCAGCCCCCTGCCGTGGACATGGAATATGTAGACCCTGCCTGGAAGAATAAGCTTTGGTGGTCTCAGAGCTCCCAGGCCAGTTTATGTAGGAAAGGTGAGTGATGTCTCCTCTCTTGACTGCAGGCTGGGTTTTCTGCTGCATCCTTCTCTTCAGGTGGTGTTCTGCAGTGGAAAACGCTGGCAAATGCTTTCCTTGGTGCTAATTAAATTGCAGTCACAATGGGGATATACTATGCCAAATGGAGGAAGAGAAGGAAAAGTGCGTTTAATGGGGTCTGTAGTTCCTTAGGAGCATAGAGAGGCAGCCTGCAGTGGTGAGATTCAGTAAGCAGCTTAATAACATCTGCAAAGGTAGAGCAAGTATGCTTCAGTGCCTCTGGGGGAGCACACACTGGGAGGTGATGAGCCTAATGAGGATGTAAAAGCCCTTTCCCGCTGGATCAGCTAAAGGAGAGGCAGCAGACAGGGTCCAGCGTGGGCACTACCAGAGGGGCTTACCTTGAGAGAGGATGATGACACAAGGCGCTTTTAATCTGAACCGAGAGACACACACACGCCCATAAAGATGAGCAGAGCCAGGGCTGCTTGACAAAGGCACAGGAGCAAAGCTGCTGGTTTGCACATCAAACAGGGATTTAGAACCCCTCTAAGCAGCTCATGGTGTGTCTGTAAACAAGGCCAGTCTCCTCTATCCAGTTCGGCTGCATGGGATGGGGGGGACGGAGGAGGCTTTGCAGGGCTCATGGAGCAAATAGGGCTGTCTCCTGCCTGGTGTGTGTGTGCTTTGCACGCTGCTGTAGGATCTGAACAAGCATTTTGCAATAGAGTCCTGGCCCCAAGGCTCTGAATCATTTCTCTCCTGCAAAAATCCTGTTAATTTCTCCTCTTTCTCTCCTCAAATACCCTCTGTTCTGCAGTGCCACATTTCATGACTTTCCAGTTGCAGTAGGACTATTTGCATGGATAGAAGTGGAGGAATCAGGCTCACTGATGCTAGAGGAAGGTGGGTAGATCTTCCCTCTCTTCCTTCTGTCCCTGGTGATTAGAGGGAGTTGGTTTGATGTCTGCATATTGTCTAAGAGGGCGCTTACTGGAGACATGGCAGAACACCATGTCTCACTCCAAACAGCAAGCAGTTTGCTATGGTTCTGCATTTAATGGGTGTGGATTAAAGACCACTTCCCCAGTGATTAAAGGCTTCTTTGCTGGGGTGTGGGAAGCAGCACGAGGCCAGCTTTCCACTGTTGCAGAGCTCCCAGAGAGCCTGGGCTTTTCCTAGGGGTTGCTGCTCAGTGCGATGGAGATGACAAGCCCTGAGAGCTTTGGCCTTTGGTTTCCTCGGTGACCAGAACAGTTGCATGTTAACCCGATTCCTATGGAAATCCCATCTGATGGGGAGAACAGGACATCTGTGTCCCTTGGAGGCCGTGCCTTACATGTTGCTTTTGGGGTGCTAAAAAGCAGTGTTCATCTACATGTCCCAAAAATATCATGGAAGAGCGATCTCTCCGTTCTCTCCGTGAGGTTATTTGTTCTGTATTAACACTCCTGTCTCATCTTCCCACTTGATGCTCTGTTGCCTAAACAAAGGAGAAATTTCAGGAGTGAACTGTAAACAGGTCCACATAATTGGATCTGTTTGGAATTTGCATTGACAAGGCAGCACTTGTACCTCTCACACGTGGATGCGGAGCTGATCAAAGCAGTTGTCTTTCTTTGGGCCTATCCCTGAAGCGTGTGTGCCCACCACGGAGGGCTTCCCAATGGCTTTGTGGAGACCTGGAGCTTTCATCTGCTGTGGAGGAGTTAATATTGGGAGTGAAAAAGAACTGGGATCGAGGATGTTATAGCTAATGGTTAGAGACAGAACCACGGCGAACGGCTGCTTGCTGAGCGTGTGGTAATGAGCTGGGTTGCAGACACGTTCTCATTTAACTAAGCCA